TGTGAACCAAAGAACATGGTTACTGTAAAAAGTGGGGCCCTAACTATCCAGAAGTGTAATTTTTGATGGGGCTCAAATCCACAACTGTTTATCCGAGCCACAAAGAATTCTATTGGGCCCACTGCCAAATTGTTAGAAGCTCTGGCGAGCTTGGAATGCCTGAGCCAAAGAAGATGGGTACGCGATAAAGTTTCGGCCCAATCCAAAATGATGATTTTTGCTGGGGCTCAAATCTACACAGTGTTGACCTGAGCCAGAAAGAAATCTATCGAGCCTAATGCCCTGGTGAGGCATATTGCGCAAGAGTTCCATCCGAACAACACGTAGTCTGCCGCTTTTAGATGTATGGCAATTGAACCAAAGAAGATGGTTACTGTAAAAAGTATGGGCCCCATCCAAGATTGCAATTTTCGATGGGGGTAAAAGCCTCAGCTGTGGATCTGAGTCACAAAGAACTCTATCGAGTCCACGGCCAAATTGGTCGAAGCTCCGGCGAGCTTGTAATGTCATGCTCTGATCAAGTATAGAGCGCAAAAGTTGTATCCAAACAACATGTAATCTTCGGCTTTGAGTCGCAAAACATCTGAACCAAAGAAGACTAGAGAATTACAGAAGGGGGGGGGTTCGAGTGAAAAATCATTGTGTTGGACTCAGACCTGCCCCTCCCCTTGCTGAAGCAAGAGTAACTCCAGCTAGCTACCGCTAGCTTTCGTGATATGAATCCAATGTGCAGCTAAGACTCTGGATATGCCGAGGCCACGAAAGGAAGCACTGAAGGCAGTGTGTAGGTTGCGGCATACGTCAAGAAGTTCACCTACACTGGCAGAGCTCTGCCAACGGCCACTTCAGTCACTTGGATATACTTTGATGCTCACCTCCTGAACAAACAACCACAGCTGTCAAGCTCAACAAAGACTGACAAGTGACCGTCTCGAAGAACAAAATCCTCGGATTCATATTTCACACCCAATGGAGGACTTGGGTAGTCTTGAGTACGCAGTAGCACATGATGAGAAAGTTAAGTAAGTCTGTACGAAACGGAACAGCCTTGCATTTTCATGCAGTTTGGTATTTGCGTGCGCAGGCTTTCAAACTGACTTCGTGAGATCAGACAAGTGGGCAAACCTGGCTTGAACATCAGTGGGTGTGATTCTTGCAGCATGTGCCCTGAAAACATCCCACATTTTCTTTCAAACAAAACTTTTAGCGGTGTACTGCGACTTTCTCTATTTTGACTCATCCCTATGAACCTGTTCAGAGAATTTGTATTTGGGCCTTGGAGACTGCAAAAACGAAATGGTTATCGTTGAAAGCAAACAAATCTGAGGATCAAAGGTTCTAATAGATTTGAATCGATTTTTTTGCCAGGTATCCAGGTTCTATTTGGTAAACCTTCGGCTTGTGGCCCTGGATGTTCTTTCTCCTCCTTTTCAAGTCCATCCCCAGTCTCGTGCGAGTCTTCTTCTGCTCTCAGAAGTGCTACAGCTTTCCTCATACGGCCATGCAACAAAAGCAAGGTTGCAAAAAATGGCCTTAATGTTCAATATTTTTGATAACCCGCGCTGCACGTATTTTACATTTGTTGATGCTTCACTGACAAACGTGTTTGCCAAAAAACTTTGCACAGTGGCATTGGTAGTGCTAGCTTCAAGAGCTGCAATTGAAAAACCTGAAGCAAAAACATAAATCCATACCTGGCATCCCTGTATCAAGCTAGAGATCTGTCAATTAGGAAATCGATGCAGGATGTCAAGGATCTTCAATTCGATCTAGTCTGAAATTCATGCAAAGTCTTTTGCAATGTTGTTTCTCTTCAGCTCTGTGTCTCGTGCATTGGATTGATCCAGTCCAAAAGCCTCTTCCCCAAGCTCTCTGATACCATGCCTGCCGCCCACACCACTGCGGGTGCAAGCTTGTCCTTCAGGGCTACAAGTCAAACTGTTTCGTCCATCTGTGCCTATCTACATTCGTTAATTGCATGTCAATTGATATTCCTCTTATTGGGCTTGTGAATTGCCCGAACTGCAAAGCTCCTTTGCTCAAGGAAGTGTTCAGTTTGTCTTAATGTCGACTAATGTCAACTTGGCTTGCATCGTCTAGTTTTTTCCGCTTCGCATACAACCATGAGCAGCTTTCCAGCCTGAATGATCAGAATGTCGAGGCCCCAGAACAGCCTTCCATCATCTATCTTTTCAGCATGTTCTGTAATTACAAACCATTACAAAACAGGCAATGACATGCAATCACATGCCCAGACTTTCACTTCAAGGGGGTCCAAACTACAGGTAGCTGTGCTTGTTGCGTTCCCACCTTAATGCCCCCTGAGTGCCATAACACGCAATAACCATAACTCATTTTTTGTTTCTGCTGTACATTTCAATCCTCTGGCAACCTGCATACAACACCGTACACCCAGCTTGGAGCGATTTTGCAGATGTAGCTCTGGAATGCTGTGGCAGGATTTTGCATGTTGCTCAAAGTGGGCTCGTTCTGACTCTGAATTGCTTAGTGACTATCGATCTTGCACACAAGTGCACAGCAAGACTACAATGTTGACATCTTACCTGCAAAAGGAACACATCGACTCAGTTAAGTTCTCTGTCCTCAGCCTCAGCATAGTTTTTCCTTAAAGAAATAGCTTGTACACGTGCTACATTCTAGGCTGGGGAAAAGCTTGAGCGAAACTCAATATGTTGGGAAAAATTGAACACCTATAAATCTGTGAGCAGGTCAGGAAACTCAAGAAATTCTACCCCAAGTAAGCCCTCTCTGATTATCCTTGGCACAAAATTATGACTGCAGTTGCATCAAAACAATTTGATTCGACCTCTTGTTGTTTACACATCTATTTGCATTGCAGTGTGTACGTAGTTAATTACATGATCTAAAGTGTGATAAGACCGCCGGGTCGCATTGTGTGTGTGTGTGACCTTCCCTCCCTCAACTTGATATTATATATATATGGATACACATCAATAATAGCATTGTATCCGTTGCTTCACATCATTCATCCCTTGCATGCCTTGCAGAGTCCACAAGACAACAAAGCATCAAAATATCACAGCACGTCACATTGACCAACAGCACACATGCAACAAAATAAGAGCATCAAAGCATAATCCAACTGTGATACAATCTGAATTTAATATCGTGTGGTGATGTAAGTGTGAGACTGCATTACGTTGAACTACCTGTACACAGCAGGCAGTCTACAAGTCTACAGAAACATATGCGCGCAAAAGGCAACAAAAATGAACACAACAATACAATGACAAGTTCCAACATGTTCCAACATGTTGGGCAACATGTTGGGCAACATGTTGCACCGGTCCAGAATTATAGACTACTATGATATGGACCAAGGCTGAACAAAGCCGAGGCTCTGAAAGAAAGCAGCAATGACAAAGAATGTGGTCACACCAAAGCGAGGATTTTCCACCTCACGTCCACTCACCTGGTCATGAAAACAGAGAGGGAAAGTCACAAATTCGAAAATTACATTTTGAGATACATAATTACGTGTGTAAAAGGTTTTATACTAAATACTATCATACGTTGTCTACCCTTGAGCTTTCTTCACACAAAACAATGCAACTTGAAGACTCAAAGCCGTGACGTGATGTGTCTTTGCGAGGTTTTCTGAGGGGTTCTTGGACTCTACGAAAATTTGCAAAGTTGCAAAGCGCTGCCGTCCAAATGTCCTGCATTGCCTGAATCAGAGAAAGGCCAAGCACCACCAGATTCCCCATTGACATTCCTGCACACTGACGGCCAACAAATGAAAACTGATACACCATGTGACAATAGCAACAGGATTCCTCGCAGGTTCCACGAAGTCTCTTATACATCGCAATGTTCGCATTTGCATAGTTTTAGCTGTTTGCATGTGGCTATGCTGGACCAGATATGATCGGATTGTTATTCTGTGAATCTTTCACTATACTTTCTTGCCAACTTCAGTGTGTTCTCGCCCTTTCCCTTGCACAACTGCAGGGGGGGTTCCAGCTTAGAGTAGTGCATCTGCCCCCGGTTTGCCAGTCTCTAGCGTTCTGAAAAACACTTCAATGATAAGAGCGTATTTTTTTTCAGCAATTCTAAGGGGTAGGCAAGTTCCCTGAATTTCATTAAAACATAATTTATGACTAGATGGATCAATCATCCAGGCAGCGAAGTAGGACAGAACAGGAATTATACTCCAAATGGAACATTCAAGGGCCAACAATGAACAACATTCGGCTTGGCACCTGGACACAATATGAAACAACCAATTCTGAAACACAGCGTCACAGCTGGAACCGCTCCTACGCCCACTGCTTTGGTGCAAGGCGGTGGGTGTCGCATGACCAGAGACCTCAATATTTATGAGTGGCCTTCTGCACACTTTCTTTTGAGGAAGATAAATCGTTAGACAAGTCACGATGACTAATGATTAATAGGATTCAAATGATTTCATAGATGTCTTCAAGGAAAGACTCGGATGAACAGCTGATAATCGGTGTTTTATACAGGAAAAAGGCTCGGATGAGCAGCTGATACCAGTAGCTCGAACTTCCGGAAACTGAGAATAAAGTCCAATGACGCCAGCTTGTGGGGCAAGGCCGCATGGTGACGCAACGTGAAGCACGCAAGTGGTCAATCAGCCCATCCCGCTGCACGCCGCAGCAGCAGCAAGGTGTTTTGCTTCCACTTGAGCCAAAGTCCAGCTCGAGCATAGTTCACCCGAACCCGCTGGCTTTGGATAAGACATGTTATTTTGTCTCAGTTCATGCACAAATGGTGGATTCCTAGAACTATCAACTTTGTTGATATTGTTCATCAAAAGGAAAGGCCGGATGCAGACGAATTCTACATGCTCTGTATCTGTGGGAGCCGGAAGGCTAACGCCCCAACTTGGGCTTTTATGGTGGGTCACCTGAAAGGTTGTTTGGGGACGTATCGTTTTAGTACCGTTTGATTGCTGACTTTCAGTAGCATTTGAGAATGTGGTAATACATTCATCCACTCGGAACGCAACTGCCTTGGAGTTGGTGACACATTTTGGGCTTCCATTTCGGGAGCCGTATTTTTTTCCCCATTTTGGGCTTCCATTTTGGGAACCGTTTTTCCCTGAATTTATTCTTTTCACCCTTAGCACAGCCTTTCACCAGTGCTGACCCCTGCGGACTTGATTGCAGCAGCCCGCACGGATTGCAGTGGCCCAATGATTGGATCTCGAAGCTTCAGATGCAGGCGATTCTTCGGCATGTGCTGCCCTCTCTGCAGGCCCTGCGCAGGCCCTTCGCGCTGGCCCTGGGCAGGTCCTTGGTTCTGGCCCTGTGCAGGCCGTAAGAGTGACTCCAAGATTGATGAGCTCTGCGTCTTTGCAGTCGTCAATGTCAAGAGCTCGATTTAGATGCTGAGCGCGAGGATTCAAACGAAGTGCTTCTCAGGAGTTGATTCCGCCGTCGCGTGGTGGCTCAGCAGCTGGATCTGATGCTCCTCATGACGCAATGGCTTTGGAGTCAAAGCCCGCCTTTGAAGCTTTGACGATGACTTGGCCCATCTTGGCAATGCTACGGAATCCGAAACGGTACATCCTCTTTTTCGATTGCAAGCCCAAGCCGAGATGGATCGACGCGCACCCCTGAACAACCTAGAGTATGACCAGGGCACTTTGGAAGGCAGATGGGCGTTAATTTGTGAGCGCGAATGGGAGACTTTGAAGTCTCTTGGTTCCCAACTTCCTTGTGGTGATTGTCATCATGTGTTGGCGGCGCAAGCAGCGCGAAAAGAATATCACTGGACTCAGTTGTCTCCAGCCAAGAAGGAGTTGTGGCGAGAAGCAGCCATAAAAGGATGGAATGTCTACATCGACAACAATGCAATACAGGGCCTCTCCTTCATCCTTCATTGTCAGAAGATTCGGAAGGGCCTGGCCAAGCGCAATCAGCTTGACAAAATCCTACAGCCAAGATTCGTCCTGACGGACAAACATGATGGTTTGAGAACGGAGAGTCATCCTTTGCCAATATCGGCAAGCAGTCGCCTTGTGATGCCTGGATTCAAAGACCGCAGCAACCTTGGAGGCAGACTGCGACGTGACGCTCCGACTGGTTCTCGAATGGCTCGGCACATTCTATTTTCCATTGCTGCCTTCTTCACCCAATGGATGCTGATTGCTGCCGACATTAAAAGTGCCTTTCTCAAATGTGCAGCTGATGAAAAGCGGAATCCGTTGATTCCCTCGCTCCCAGGACAACTATGTCGAGTGCTGAAAGGCATCTTTGGGTTAGCTGACGCGCCCAGGGAATGGTGGCTGAGATTGTCAAGAGCCATGGAAGAGCATGGATGGACCCGCACCTTGGTGGATGGCGCTATATGGTGCTTGCGGGTCACTAATGAAGCTGGTGAGCGAACCTTGGAAGCTTTGGTTGTGGCACACGTTGATGACTTGCTCTTTGCTGGAGGCGTGAAAGGAAAAGCATCCCTAGACGCTATTGGAACTGAGCTTGGATTTGGAAGCCTTGAGGAAGGTGACTTTACATGGTGTGGCAAGCGCATCAGACGTGCAAGTGATGGCACCATACGGCTTTCCATGCGAGAGTACCATGAGAATTTGCAGGAGATCTTGCTGCCGAAGCATCGCAAGTCAGACCCAACTAGCCAGTTGGACGCATCCGAAGCTCGTCAACTGAGAGCCCTACTTGGAAGTTTGCAATGGTTGGTAGCTCAACTTCGTTTCGACATGAGCTATGCAGCATCAGCCCTTCAGGGAGAGCACCCACCGACCATTGCTACGGTGTTGAAAGCCAACTCGATCATGCGAGAGTTCAAAGTGGACCTAGATCTTTCGCCCCATAGATTTCCGAAGTGCTGGAATCGTCATGGTGTCGGACGCGGCATTAGGAAACGTGCCGGAGCACATACTCCGCTGAGACTTTAGCTGCAGAAGAAGCCTTTGATGTTGGGCAGTTGCTCCGAGGCTTCGTAGCTACGGTTCGTGGGTTTGACATGCTTGGTCGTGCAGCAGATGTTGCAATCAATGCTGTAAAGATGACTGTTGTGGTGGACGCCAAGGACGTTCACGAGAAGGGCAACAGCGACACAGCCACAAATGGCAGCCAGAAGAGCCTTGCATTCACTGTTGCGTGGATGTGATCTTTCTTGCGCAAACCCAATAATACATGCCTGAAATGGACATCCACGGAGAACATGTGGGTTGGTGGTACGAAGCTGATGGACCTGACGCACATGAGGTCTATCATGAAGAAAGGTAGCTGGTCTATCAGCTACAGCCCTGAATTCGTGAAGCAGGTCATGAAGGCCCGCAGCAGAAAATCTCCGGTTGTTGCAAAAGCAAGCGCTGAGCTACCTGGAGTCGCTGTGGATGGCAACGATGCCATTGAGAGAAGAGGTTGGCACTTCACTTCTGGCGTTGGAGTTCAAGCGGGACGACCTATGGTCGATTTGATGTTGGCCAAACTGAAAAAGTTTGGCATAAGCTTGAAAATGCGGCGATGATGTCAGGTTTTGAAGGAAACAGATTTTTGCAGCAGTGGTCCTAGGGACAGAAACAGACAGAAAAACGAGCGGTCGAAAGACTACAGCTTCTATACGGCTGATAAACACGCAAGCGGTCAATCAGCCCACCCCGCCGCACGCTGCAGCAGCAAGGTGTTTTGCTTCCACTTGAGCCAAATGTCAACTCGAGCATAGTTTACCCGAACCTGCTGGCTTCGGATAAGACATGTTATTTTGTCTCAGTTCGTGCACAAATGGTGGATTCCTAGAACTATCAACTTTGTTGATATCGTTCATCAAAAGGAAAGGCCGAATGCAGACGAATTCTACATGCCCTGTATCTGTGGGGGCCGGAAGGCTAACGCCCCAACTTGGGCTTTTATGGTAGGTCACCTGAAAGGTTGCTTGGGAACGTATCGTTTTAGTGCCGTTTGATTGCTGAATTTCAGTAGCATTTGAGAATCTGGGAATACATTCATCCACTCGGAACGCAACTACTTTGGAGTTGGTGACAAATTTTGGGCTTCCATTTTGGAAACCGTTTTCCCTGAATTTATTCTTCTGAAGCATCCCATATTTTCATTATTTTTCTGGATATTTCCGCACCCGCAACCAGTGTTTCCTGCTGAGGTGCCAGTACGTGAGGTCGGACAAGCATCCAAGGCCACCAGCCAACACTGCAAGGCCCAACAAACAAATGGACGCACCTCCCACCTCTTGGTCCTAGGCTTTTCAAGAATTGATTCAATACATGACAAGAAACTGTCACCATGTATTCACCGTATTCACCATGCAATCATTAATCTTCAGTCTATTCAAAACCTATTCATATGTATTCAAAGTCTCTTTAAAGCAGGGACACAAATTGGCTGGAAAACATAAAAAATATTAAAGAGGGGTGGAAGTAGTGAAAAACATTTGTCAGAGCACAGAGTTGAGTCAAATACACATGGCCATGGCACACTTAACGAAGGAAGTTTAGAAGTCAAACTTCTGACAATATTGACAGGTGGAAAAGCAGAGGTGGGGAGAGTCAGAGAAGAGCAGAGAAGAAGAGAGAAGATCAGAGAAGAGAAAGGGTCAGAAGAAAGAAGGTGCAGGCGTGTGAAAAGGTAGGAAAGTCACGAAACAGTATGTTTTTCCAATGATTTGTGACTCTGGAGGGTCGAAAAGTAGGCTCGCTAAAGCGGCTGGTGCGGAGCCAGCTGGCCAGATGAGAGATGAAAAATTGCACGCCGTTGTGGCGCGAAGCACATTTCGAAGTCAACATGTACAAAACACACCAGGTTCGGACCACTTTTGGAAGTTGCGATGTCGAAAAAGTGCACCTGTTGTGGCGCGAAGCACATCTCCAAGTCAAAATGTACAAAGCACACCAACTTCAGACCACTTTTGGAAGTTAAGAGGTCGAAAAAGTGCACGCCGTTGTGGCGCGAAGCACATTTCGAAGTCAAAATGTACAAAACACACCAGGTTCGGACCACTTTTGGAAGTTGTGATGTCGAAAAAGTGCACCTGTTGTGGCGCGAAGCACATCTCCAAGTCAAAACACACCAACATCAGACCACTTTTGGAAGTTGAGATGTCGAAAAAGTGCACGCCGTTGTGGCGCGAAGCAGATTTCGAAGTCAAAATGTACAAAACACACCATGCTCGGACCACTTTTGGAAGTTGAGATGTCGAAAAAGTGCACGCCGTTGTGGCGCGAAGCACATTTCCAAGTCAAAATGTTTAAAACACCACGGGTTCGGACCACTTTTGAAGGTTCAGATGTGATTTTGCGTGGCAGGCGCAAGGGATTCTGCACCTTGCCAAAAGCGAGCAAAACGTGATGGTTTTGTAGCATTTCCAAGGACATTTGCAGAGGATCTGCAAAGATGCATTTCGCGTGGCAGGCGCAGTACAAGCGGCATGTTCATCAGAGATGTTAAGAGGTCAGGGCGCTGATTTCCTGAGCCGGGTTGCATTTTGGAGCATCAGATCTGTAGGTTTGCTACGATGACTTTGTGTGACAGGTGCAGCACTTCGTATGACCTGGCATCAATTCTTCGTGGCAGGCGCAATACTTTAGACAGGTGGAGTTGAAAAATCGCAAAACGCATTGGTACCAGGCCGTCAGCTCTGCACTCAACTTTCCAGTTTTGAAGGAAGTCTCGCAGAATTGCTTCGTTTTTGATGTTGTCAACTTCCAAAATTGAGGAAGTCTCGCAGAATAGCTTCGTTTTTGATGTTGTCAAGTTCAAAAGTTGAGGAAGTCTCGCAGAATGGCTTCGGTTTCAAACTTGCAGATAGTCAGATAGATAGATAGATCGATAGATCGATAGATAGATGGATAGATGGATAGACAGATAGATAAACTGAAGGACAAATAGATAAACATATATATAGATAGACAGATAGATAGACAACTGCAACTGCAACTGCACCACACCACGCTACAACTACAACTTCAACGACTAACTACAACTACACTACCACTACAACTACAACTTCAACTGCGCTTTGGCTACACTTCAGCTAAACTTCAACTATAAGAACTACAGCTACAACCACAACTACAACTTCAACTGCACTTCAGCTACAACTACAAGCCCGGCAAGCCCAACTACACTTACTACAACTACAACTACAATTACAAGCGCCACCACAACTACAACCGCAACTACAATTACGACTGCGACAGCTACTACAAGTACACTACAACTGCGTCTACAGCTGCAACTACAACTACAACTACAGCTACACTACAACTACACTACTACAACAGCAATTACCACGGCACTACGCTACAACTACAACAACAACTGCCACTACACTACAACTACAACCACGGTGCAGCTACAGTTGCAACTACAACTGCAACTCCTACAACGTTTGCAACTACTACAATTTTACAATTAAGACAATTACAACTTCAACTACACTACAACTACAACTACAACCGCGCAACTACAACTACAACATTACAACTTCAACAACATCAGCCTCACTACAACTAAAACTACAACTGCAACTACCGCACTACACCACACTACATCCAGGAGTTGTGAATGAGGTGACCACTGCAACCATTGCAACCACTCCAAAAAGCACAACTCCAACCACCTTTCGGTCCATCAGTGGATGCGCTCTGCCATCCATGCATCACAGCAACTATCCTTGAAACTCCCGCCTGTGCGGTACTACTGGTATTACACTGCGGTATTGGTGACACATGACTGCTGTAGCTCGTTTGGGGACTTTGTCGCCTTTAAAGCAGCACGCGGCAGCACAACAACCAGGCCGGTATAGTTATCAGAGGACGTTGCGTACCATTTGTACTTGACGAAAAAGGCAACACGCCCACTATTTGGTGACTGTTCAGTCGGGCGACCCAAAATACTGCCAACAGCATCAAGATAAAGAGTGAACTCTGGTGCATCCCGTTCACGACAATGCCTGCCTGATTCTTTAACAGGACATGCATTTTCAAACTGCGTCAAAAAGAAAAACGTTTCATCACATGCAAGCTGCAAGTGCTCTCTATTGGCTGAAACAGGATCTTGAAAGGATGTAAAAATTTAAACATGTTCGCAGCACACGCCAGCAACTGGCAACATTCACCAACGAGGTTTGTTTGTCAGAGTGAATGCTGTTCTTGATCTCGAGGCCGTGTCACGTCTATCGCACCGGAATGATGCTCCAAGATTTTGTAGCTAATGGAGAAAATGTTGCCTGAAGCAACTGAGACTGCTAGCATTAGTTGGGACTGCTTGTATTCTTGTCCAAACTGGATAGAACTGCATGATACAACAAGCCACCAAAAACATTTCTGGCCCAAAACACACAATCCTTGCAGCGAATGCGCGGTTGCAAGGCTGCAAGCATGCCTGACTTCTGATGGAATTCATCCGATCCAGCCATCCTCGCTTCTTCACTCTGTACGCACATAGTTATCATAATTAGATGCTTGCAAAGGGAACTTGCATGCTTCCGGTACCACATACATTCTGTACAAAATAGCATGTACTTTGAATCATACCACATTAGCGTTCCCTAAAGTTACATCCACGTTTACATCCAGTATCCCATGCATGTTGAAACTGATGACAAAATCGCAATCGCGTTGAAGTCTGCAGTTGGTACCCGCGTGGAACACACACAAACACACATACACACTGTTACATTACACTGCCCTGCATTCTTTACACTACATTTACTCTGACATGTACATTCACATTCCGTACATCCATTAAAATCTAACTAGAATAGATTCGACATACAGTACATGTTTATATTGCGCACAAACGTCAACATCAATACTATTGGCATTAACGTTGCGTTGCGTTACGCTACACTACATATTACATATCATGCGAACATGCACAGCGTAAACCACATGACGTACCACAGTGCCTGTCCATGTACAACAACTGGACAGCTGTGTTCATGGAGAAACAACATTACATATTCATCCACATAGAATCATATACCACAATATGATACAATATGTCTACGAATATATCAATTATAGATAGACAAGATGTTAATTCACGTAAGTGTAAATATAGAGAAAATAGTATTAGATTCTGTCACAATATATAAATATATATGATTATATATATATGTATGTATGGTTATATCTATCTATCTATCCATCCATCTATCTATCTAATCTATCTAATCTATCTATCTATCTATCTATCTATCTATCTATCTATATATTTAATGATAGGCGTATATATATATGTATGTATGTATCATTGAATATATCATTGTATATATATATAAATACATTCAATGGGATCAGGACATCAAAGACTGCAACGCAGCGCTTTACTTTTCCTCCAGCCTGTCTTCTGGTCGCTCCCCATTCAGGGGTAAAGGCCTTCTGCCATAATGCGTTGGTTACCCCCAGTTCGTAGGGACCCATCACGGGTGTCGACAACAGCCGCGCGATTCACGCATACACCCGGGTGTAAAACCATGCTCCCACGCATACACCTGGTGTTCCTCATCAT